CTGCTTGCCCTTGGACGCTGACTACGTAAATTTGATATTCTCCTGATTCCAATTGTACAGCTGTCTATTATCTGACAAGCGTAGCCACAACTGTCCGTATGGGCAGGTATCGGTGGCGCTTGATAATGTTGAAATCTCGTTATGTGGCAATTAACTGTGCGCGTATAGCCTACATTACTCTGTAGAAATGTAGTGCTATGTAGAATAGAGTATTATATACTATATATAAGTCTGCCTCTTTAAATGTAACTTATGTGCTTTTCGCATCCAGTTTGCCAGAATGTTCCCACAGTTTGTTTCATGTCTTCTACGCATGTGTTCCAGATCGGATAAGTAGCAATACGATAGTTAAAGTGTTGGTTTTTTGTACGCGACTCACGTAAGAGGCATGTAACCAGCTAATGAGTGGGGGTCCTGCTGTTGGACTCTATCTACATAGCAACTACATTTCTACAGAGTAATGTAGGCCTATACGCGCAAGTTATATGCCACATAACAGATTTCAACAATTATCAACGCCACCCATACCTGCCCAACGGAGCCAGTTGTGGCTACGCTTGTCAGATAATAGACAGCGTACATTGGAATCAGGAGAATCATCATTACAGTCAGCGTCCAAGCAGCAGCTATGCTCCACCAAGGATAGTCATAGTTCAGATATGTGACAGGCTCGTGTGTGACACACGTAAAGGCCAAGATTAACTGAAAATTATATAGACGGTGACCATAATTATCGATTATTCTAACGCAAATATGTCTTCCTGTATACGTGTAAAAAATGTATATATCATTTACTCCATCTGATAGCGTGTTGTGTTGTAGAGTACTTACAAGGAGAACTGCTGGTACAATGAACTTCCACATAATTGCAAGCACGGATCTTCCCAACACTGGCCTGCCTACCATTAGGGTCACCTCGTCTAACAGTCTGTCGGCACCTGCGGGCAACATTGATCTGTGTATACGTCACACCAAGAGCATATAAAGAAGGATATATATTCTTTATATGCTCATGGTCACACTAATTGGTACCCCTCAAAAGAAACTGCGGCATTGTTAGAGTTCCTAATTATCTTTCTGTTTTCTCACATAAATAGTGCTTGCCGTTAAATTCCACCACGAGCGATGCACACTTACACTTGTGTTATCAACGCTCTAACTGTAGGAATGAAATATTAAACGAACTCAGAAATGTACGAGAACTGTACCATAAATCCATCCCACCGCAAGCACTTCGACTATAGACACACACATAGCTGGTAGTCCTATGCAATACCAGTCTATGATCATGAAGATGTACGAGCCACCCTGTAATAGGAGTAACATTGATGGTTATAGAATGAGAAGCATTAATTATTATCAAACTCAAAATATAGTAGGCCTAATATACTTCCAAAAATTGACCATTTTAGTATGGACTACTGAAAAAAAATGGGTGCATGCATCCTGAACAAGTGACAGCCCGCCAGAATAACAACGTCGTTCATGCATAGTAAATCAAATGTTAGATCATGAATATGGTCAGTGAGTGCGCCTGACAGATACGCCATCGTCCCCACCTTACAGACCGCAAAGATAAGAATCGGTAGCACGTACTCGTGTTGTTAATGGCAGTCCAAGTAGAAACGATAAACTGGAGATTACTAAAGTTAGCAGTATCTGTCTTTTCTGAAACCTTGGTGGCAGGATATCTCTAAAGGCAGTGATTACCGTTTCCATGGCTACAAACTGTAAAAACATCGCCCAAAACTGTTAGCCCAAATTATAGACGGTTTGGTACTATGCGACAGTTTTTTACAATGTAATAATAATAATAATGACCTGACAGTATTATATTGTACATTAATAAAAACTAAATGTGAAAAGATCGTTTCTGTTGGCAATGATACAACTTGTTGAAAATTGCAGAGTTCACGTGGCTAAAGCTTTTTACACACAATATCTGAGAAGACCCGTAAGATGAACCAGAAAATCCCTCTAAATGTAATACAAGACATCTGCATAGTTGTCTTGATGAATAATTATCACGAAACACTGGAAATTTAACTTAAAATGCGGTTAAGAGGAAAAGTGTGGGTTTAACCTGACTGTCTAGCGACACCGTGAACAACATGAAGAAGAAGAGAACACTCCACAGCGGAGAAATCGCCAGGTGTGTTATCGCTTCAGGGTATGCCATAAATGCCAAACCGGGACCTGTAGACAAATTCATAAAAGAGCAATTATCACACTTGTTTTATTGGATTCATCTATTGATTCTTTATAATCAAAATATAAAAAGAAATCAGACGTGATCGAGCTGAAATTAAAATTAAAATAATAAATAGTGGAGCGTTTACACTCAGCAAGCACAACCCTACCCAAAAATACAATGAACAAAGCTTGAATAAATAATTATGCAGTGTAATGTCCCTCTACATCTATAGTGAGTTTAAACATCAGTTATATATACAAAGTAAATATAACATTCAATTATGCAGACAAATATACCTACCACCGGTAACGATGTCTTGAATGTCAACTTGAGCGACCTCCGCCATATATCCAAGGACAGCGAAGACGACGAAGCCTGCGAAGACACTGGTAGCACAGTTGGCGATTGGTAGCAGGAGAGATTCCCTAGAGTAGCAACAAGCATCTAAATGCCTCTAAATGTAGATAATATATGGATGTTGATTGCAATTTTCAGTGGATAACCAATATTTAGAAAAACATTATCGCTGTTACACCATTTAACCCACTATATTTAATATGCTCGCTTTATTTATAGAATTATTGCGCAGTAATTCGTACCATAACATATTGTTGTGAAAACGGTTGTAGGATGCCATCGTAATCATACCAGCCCAGCCTGGTCCAAGTGAGTAGAATATCTGGACAAAGGCCAAACCCCAGACCTGAAACATAGAGGCAGACCATCTTCTATCATGATCATATCATATATCGCAATGATGTAGAGGCACAGTAATAAAGACATAGCATTTTAATTTCTAATAATTACTAGTGATGAGCTATGCATGGTTGTTGGAGAGACGAACCTTGAACTCGAGCAGTGCCTCCCATTTCGGATAAAGATACAATTTGATGCCATTGGCAGCTCCCGGCAAGGTTACACCTTTCACCAGCAGTACAAGGAGAATCACGTAAGGGAAGGTAGCCGTAAAATATACTACCTGTATAAATAAAGATGAATAGTTTATCTAAACATGAGCTGGATTGAGTTGGACCTTGTAAATAACTAATGAAATTACAACTTCAATATCGTTACTGCACATAGCAAAACCATCCAGTGCCATCTTCTATTTCACTAACTTTGTCCGATGCTGCTGATCATACCTTTCCGGTGGATTTGACGCCCTTACAAATGCATAGTAAAACGATCAGGCACCCGATGCAGTAAGCGAGCAGCAGCTTCCAATGGAACCCACCAAGGTCGTGAAGCCCTTCAGAGATCTCCAAGACAAAATTCCTGCGTGACGTCCAAGAAAATTGATTGCAAAGGTTGTAAAACATTGTCACATCTATTAGGTTTACATTGGGGGATGCTGTATGCTGGAAACCAAAAATTAAATGGAAACCGAAAACTGGAAATTAAAATCGATTTACACGTTGCGTATTTGTCGAATATAGAAGCGCTAATAGAAACGCTACTGGTGGCTTTGCAAGCCCTTCGCGGTAGGAGGTTATAACTGTGTGCTCAGTGCTCAAAACACCTTTTTATAACCTGGCACAGTAACACAGCTTATATATANAGAGTGACTAGTGTTAATGGAATTTATGAATGAATTTATGAATGAATTTATTTATGAATGAATGAATTTATTAATTTATGGAATTTAGGTATTTTAGGTAAATTATACGCGCATCCAATATACCTCTGCGAGCCATACGTTAAATTGTGGCATTTTCACGTATATTCTTTTTTTTCAGCTATTCACTGGCATGATCGACGCCTATAAGCTCGATCCCTCTACCCTGACTTAGATAGGACGCTTTCATGTTTTAATACAGTACACATCTTGTAACGGCAAAAAATATATAGAACAATGCTTTTTGTCACATTAAATATATTTAATTTTATTAAATTAATTTTTCTCTGACGGTATTGTATGTACTAACACCTCACACCACACACGTCAATATACTCACCCTTAAGTATAGGGCATATGTTCCACACTGAGATTCCACCGCTACTCGAAAACTGGCCTATCGCTACTTCGAGCAAGAACAGAGGCAATCCGCACACAGCAAGTGCTATCAGGTAAGGGATGAGAAAGGCACCTGTAACATACCTATCATCAGGGTCGGTACGATGTTGCAACGCCTCCCAGCATGGTCAACCCGGCATGCTTCTAATTTACGATATACCTATAGTTGTCCTTTAACTTTTTAAGTAAAATCTTCTACATAATAAACGCGCCATATACAACAATGTCTTGTTGAATTCGAGGAACAGTGCTATAGTGTGTGATAAGAAATTGTTATATATGATTTAAAATGTTATGTAACAAATTAGCTCTAACAAGTAACCTAATCGCCTGCGTCAAAACATAGTTTATACCAGGGTTGTAGCCAGGACAATTTTAGTGCCGGCTAATATCAGTGATTGCGTCATATGCATAGATAATTTATAATAGCAACATGGTGCTTAGCCAGCTAGACTGCATACATGTACTATGCGCTGTACGATGTGATCAGATGATGATTTTTCCATAGAAGGTCCATTCTTCCTCGAGTATACATCACTTACCGCCTCCACTTGTAAAGCAAATGTAAGGAAATCGCCAGATGTTGCCAAGTCCGACAGCAAATCCAATACAGCTCAGGAAGAAATCCAACGATCCTGTCCAGTTGCCACGAGCTTCATTCTCATCGCATCTTTTCGATGACGTCACTCGCTTCTCTTGTAATGCATCGGAGGTGTTACTGCCTGCCATCGCACACGAACATCAATGTTTTTTATCTGTAAGTGTAGACGAGGGCGGAGGCTGTGTTTGCATATTGCGGGTAAAGAACAAATCGTCATTTTCACAAGCCTTTCAAACGATCGTTGCTGTCTGAACGTTCCAATATCTTCTACGCTTATTATAATGCTTCTTCGTCCGTTTTAACGCATATAGTGAAGCAATTGAACCTTCGGCGGATAGGTGTATTCGTGGTAGATTCGTGGTGACGGTTTGCAATACATGGCCAAAATTACTAGAACACATTTAAATTGTTCGATTCACAAACAACGTTAGTTCGTGTATCCTGTAACGGATGGAGAGAGAGATAGAAAGATCGAGGAGGAGACGGAGAGAGAGAGAGAGAGAGAGAGAGAGAGAGAGAGAGAGAGAGAGAGAGAGAGAGAGAGCGCGGAGGTGGGACAGCGGGAGAGTGGTCATATCCCTTTACCTTTTACCAAGAGCAATTAGAATGAGTGGAAAAACCGTGATTCTGAGACTGCATGCCGATATGACTTACCACTGGGAACATGAAGCGCGCTATTCGAGCCTATTTCCCGATGCTGAATCTAGTATATATCTATAGGTTAACACGGTAGTGTATGTATACTCTATACCTACCTTTACTAGTGTAATCATCACTGTAATGGCTCTAGGGGTGGCCACCATTAGACTTTCACACGTGCTGTGGTTAGCACGTGTAATTTATTTGTGTCGGGATCATTTTCCGCTCCTACCGTGAAGGCAGGACGGTGATGCAGTAGCAAGAAAACTCCAGAGTGGCCTGGCAGATACGCCATCGTCCCCACCTTACAGACCGCAAAGATAAGAATATCGGTAGCACAGGCCTACCGCTCATAGGGTCTATGTCCGCCCAGGGTACTGCCGGAACGTTACCCTTGGGTAGCGGTCCGGTACTAGCGCGAACGTACCCTGGTCACTATTTGATGATGGTTAGCAGTTAGGGTTAGGATTAGGGTTAAGGTTTAGGGTTAGGGTTAGGGTTCGGGTTCGTTTAGGTTAGGGACTAGGCGGACGACTCCCCTAAGACTCGTTAAGTGGAGTAGGTGAGGTACGGTCCGGCATATAATAAGTACCAGAGTACGTTTCGGTATACGGAATCGTAACCCAGGGTACGTTCCGCGCAGTACCCCGGGGGACATAGACCCCCGCCTCTCATCCGTACGCTCCCTGTGGGAGGGGAAAGTTTAGCCGAGCCTAATATCTCCAGCCAGGAGTAATCGTATTGATAAGCGGTTTGGTCTTAGTTTTAGGAGAGCAACGAAATTCTGCTAATGCAATAACCATAAAATTAATGTCTAGACTCGCAGGCAAAAGTAGAATAGATCATGTCGTGAAATAGCATTATTGATAAAATCCGTGTGTCATGTATACAGCGAATGGACCTACAGCATATTAGGCATACAATTTAACATACACTTCGCTTGATTCGTCTATACCCGAGTCCCGAGTGATTTATAGTATGAGGTTTCTAAGCACATGGAGTGTTCACTGATTTGATAAAAGCATCAAGATTTGGTACAGTAATGCTCTGACGATATTCTAAACATGATAAGGTGGTGGCCCGCAACGTAATTTTGCCGTGTTAAGGGGCGTAGCAGCTTAATTTTCAAATGGCCCCATGAAATATAAAAAATGGCATATATCCCCATCTAAATTAACATTTGTGAGTGATTTTAAATGTTTGATTATATTTTTAGACACAGGAATGCAAATTAAGATCAAATTAAAAACAAAATTTGTCGTTTTAATGGGCGTGGCACGCATACTTTAAATGGCGCACCATGAAATATCATAAGAGCGAGGGCAAACATTCACGTTCCTAAAGTAACATTTTGAGTGAATTTTAATATACTTGACCAGGTTTTTTAGACAGACCAAATAATCAATTAAGATCACTTAAAAATAAGTTTCCCCATTTGAGGGGCGGGCAAATTTTGATTTTAAAATGGCCTCATGAAATATCAAATTAAATTTTTTGAGTGATTGTAAATGCGAGACTATACGTTTATTGCTTCTCATAATCTCCGTAATTACCTCCAGCCAACGGACGTTGTCAGGGAGGTACTGTGATCGCTCTCGTGTGGTGTTCGTGTGTGTGTTCGTGTGTGTGTTCGTGTGTGTGTTGCGTGTGTGTGTTCGTGTGTGTGGTTTGTGTGTGTGTGTGTAGCCAGCAGCGGGCCCAGCTGTTATGACACTGTATCAGGAGATTGATAACCTCCTGACCTGTATCTGTTACACGCGTTAGCGCGAAGATTCAGCACCAGAAGCTGCGCCTTAGGGCATCCAAGTTCAGGCAGCCAGGCGCTCGGCCTTAAGGCGTCCAGTCAGCAGCAGCCCAGCGAAGCGAGACAGGCTGTTATAGGCCACATGTAATGACATGTTAGCACCAGCTATAGCGCGAGAGGGTATGCACTCTCGTTGAGTGCCCTCGGTCCTAGTTGCTGCCGATGTTGTTAGTTGTGTCATCGTCTTTTCTTTCTGTCCTGTCTGCTGCCCGAACCGGTCAACATGACACGGCTGAGAAATTGGCTAGCTATACACACAACACACCGCGCACGGCACGCACGCACGGCAGCAGGGCACCGCAGCGTCACAGCAACGCACGCACACGTCGGGTAGGCAGGCAAGGGCAGGCAGACACCACACGCACGCTACGCACACACTACACCGCGAACCAAGCACACAGCACACACACACAACATCACCAGCTACAGCACACCATCACTCGCGTAGCAACGCAGCGGCACAGCACCCCACGCACGCACGAAACGCGAACGCACCACGCACGCACAGCACACACCCCAAAAACGCACGCACAAGAACACACGCAGGGCCGGCACACACACACAGCCACACGCGCGCGGAGGCAGCGCGCGCCATTCTAAAGGTGCTCCAGTCTTACACGATTATCTAAGGCTGTCAGTGTGTCATACATCATCTCTTTCCTCCCGCGTCTTGCTCTCTTCCCGCTCTCCCTACTCTCCTGCTCTCTCTCTCTTGCTCTCTCCTCGTGCTCTCTCTCTTCTCGCTCTCGGGTCTCTCTGCCTCTCTCTGCCACTTTCGGCGGCGGCTCTCTTCGTCTCCTCTCTCTCTCTCTGTTCTCGCCTGCACCCTAATCTCTCGTCTTCTCGTCTCTCTCCTCTCTCTCTCCTCTCTCTCGCTCGCTCTCTCTGCTTCGTCTCGTCCGCCCTTGTGCTTGCTTGCCT